ACACAATATCGTATAACAGCATGTGTTTGAACTCTATCAATGTGGTTTGCTAGGACATTTACTGTGTCCTCGTAATTTAAAACACTTTACAGGGACTTTTAACGTTGAAATTTGCTATAGGTCTCATGAGAGCGTTGGGTTAAGGGTTAGGGTAAGGCCATATAATAACAATATAACAGCATTAACTATATCACACCAATGAAGTGTCTTTGTAAAGCATATATACAACTTTGTGTGTGTGCTTGTTTATGGGCTTTACAAAGGCACTCTATTGGTGTCACATAGCTTTTGCTGGTTATTATATGACCTTACTCTAACCCTAAACCCAACCCTCAATGGAAACCAATGGCAAATTCCAATGTCAAAAAGGGGTTTATGAGGACACAATATTGTATAATAGCATGGGTATGACTTCTATTAAGCTGGTTAACAAGGACATTTATTGTGTTCTTGTAATTAAATGCTCCACAGTGTCTTTTGACATTAACATTTGCCACATTTCCTGTGAGGGTTGGGTTTAGGGGTAGTGTAAGGTCATATAATACCAGTTTAAAAACATTACACCAATGGATAGTCTTCGTAAACCATATGTACAAGTGTGCGTGTGTATGATTGTACTTGTTTATGTGGTTTACGAGGACACTATATTGTGTAATGGCATTGGTATGACCTCTATTAAGGTCAGGGGTGTCCTAACTCAGGCCTGGAGGGCCGGTGTCCTGCACAGTTTGGCTTCAACTTCCTTCAACACGCCTGCTTGGAAGTTTGCAGTCCACCTAAAAAGAGCTTAATTAGCTGGTTCAGGTGTGTTTAATTGGGGTTGGAACTAAAATAAGCAGGACACTGGCCCTCCAGGACAGTTTAGACACCCCTGATTAAGGTGGTTTAAAAAGGCATTTATTGTGTCCTCGTAATTCAAAAATGCTTTACAGGGTCTTTTGACTTTTCAGTTTTGCCACTGGATTTCATTGGGGGTTGGGTTTAAGGGTATGGTAAGGTCATATGATAACCATATAATAGTATAAATTACATTACGCCAGTGGAAAGTCCTCGTAAACCATAAATACAAGTGTGCATGCGTGTATGGATCAGACAAGTAGCACAAATGTTAACAATAATCTTATTTAACGACTGTTAAATGGGACAATGGGGTCTATATACAGTATTAGAGTGTATATTAGTGTTTGTCAAAGTATATTGTGTCGTTCATTTGATGTTGATTGATCGACTGATTGATTGATTTCCAAAGTAAACGCAAAGAGCTATTAATAAAAAGAAATGAATCATTTAAAACACGTCCATCATAGTATCGTTTGTTAATGTGAAGAGAAAAACGTGTTCTGAAAGTCGTGGCGAGTTCTGTTTCTGCATTTGGTCCACCGATTACGTGTGCAGTGATTATTAATTTTGTGTGTGTTAAAACAGACTGCAGGTGCACACTATGATATGCACACATAATCAACTGTTGTTTACTTACAAACACTGGCATATTTTGGTTTTCTGAAACAGAAATTTCATTTTAAATTGTGCAGAATTTTTTCCATTGACTCCTTTACATTTCCACAGAACCCCAACACCCCCCCACCCTTAAAAAAAGAAAAGAAGTGAAAAGAAAGTGTTAAGAAGGTTGCTGGTTCGAGTCCTGGGTGGGCCAGTTGGCATTTCTATGTGGAGTTTGCATGTTCTCCCGGTGTTGGTGTGGGTTTCCTCTGGGTGCTCTGGTTTCCCCCACAGTCCAAGCACATACGCTATAGGGGAATTGATGAACTATATTGGCCGTAGTGTATGAGTGTGTGAATGTGAGAGTGTATGGGTGTTTCCCAGTGCTGCTTTGCATACCTGCCAACACTCCCGTTTTTCCCAGGAGTGTCCCATTATTTAGACCCATCTCCCGACACCCTCCCATTTTGTTATTTCTCCCGGAAAACTCAGGTAATTTCCCTGGTACTCAGCTTTTTGGTACAGTCTGTAAAACCCCCGGGGTCTCCAACTTTGGAATAGTATCGGATTGCAGTGGCCGCCCGAAACCAGAGTAGAGTTACTAACTCGGTTCTCAACTGTGTTATCCCCCCACCCTCCCATACACACACTGGTCTTCCAGATATTCACAGACAAATGTTGGCGGGTGTGCATCCGCTGCAGAAAACAATGCTGGAATAGTTGCCGGTTCATTCCGCTGTGGCGACCCTTGCTAAATAAGGGACTACGCTGAATGAAAATGAATGAAAAGTTCATTAGAGAACCAAGATCACACTTATTTTTAATAGTGCATTGCCTTTAATTAGAAAACGTGTATGTAATAACCAACCCAGGCTCATTCTGAAAACGTAGTCCCGTGAACGTTTCTGGAGACCACGAAATACGTCCTGGGAGGTGCATATTTTTGCAGTTTTTGTTAGCTTTTTCGTATCTCAAATGTCTCTCGCGAGTGTCGTTCGCGCCCACGCTGTTCTCTCTTAAACCCACCAGAGGCCGCTGTCGAACGACCGTCTGTCTGACTGACTGAACGATTGACTGTGCGACCGGCCAATTGGCTGACCCACCCTCCTCCTTCCCTAAACCTGACCAGTTTTACCAATTGACCCACCCACCCGCTTACATTCCTAAACCTAGCCAACAATTTACAGAAGCCGTCCAGAAAAAGAAAAGCCCTCGTCTGATTTTTACCACGTCTTTGGTTTTTGTCTTACGTGACTTCTGGAAGCGCTCTTCCCCAGACTCGAACCCAGTCCTTGTCGTCGTCGTCACCTCCTCTCTGCGTCTCAAGTTCGCCGACGTACACAAACTGAAATGCAGCCATACATACATACTCCGGCTACATAATTCACAGTCCCCAAAACTACGTTTTCAGAATGAGCCTGTGTTGGTAAAAACCCCAGAAAATCACGCTGACCTACGAATGACCTGCTTTCA